TTATCAATTTTCTATATATTATCTTTAAAAAAATGTATTTTGAATTTAAAATAATTTCAAAATAAAAATATTAGTAACTTAAATACACTTATTCTCGTTTATAAAAATAATTATATCAATAATAGAATTTTCCTATTTATAAAAATCAATTGTTACAAATAAAACACGTCTTCCATTGTATAAAAATAAATTATAATAATGATAGATTTTTTTCGTTTATAAAAATAATTATATCAATAATATTTTTTTCCGTTTATAAAAATAATTATAACAACCAGTAGACCTTTTATAAAAACAATGGTTAAAATTAGGTAAATAGTTAAAATTGAGTAAGTGAGTAAAAAACTTGTATTAATTATGATAATATGTTTAGTCCAATATAACCCTATTAATTAACAATTTAAACTAACTTAAAAATGTTTTCATGTATACATTAGATATATATCGATAATAGACTTTTTCTCATTTATAATATTTGCGGGACGATGTGTTGAATTAAAGGTTGATATGAGAAAAAAATAGTAAATAAATTATATTAATAATGTTGTATTATATGATTTAAATCACTGTATATTTTTTAAAAAAAATATATATTTTTTAAATTCTACAATAATATTTGAACACTTTAAAAAAAATAAGCTAGTGGCCAAGCATAAAAAAAGTTGATTAGAATTAGATATATTAAAAAAATTTCCACTATATGATGATTCTCATTATATTATAAATTATAAGTGGTGATACTTAACATATTCTTATAATATAATATCTTATTGTAACTACTAGTGTACAAGGTGATAAAGAATAAAGAATGCGAGAATATATTTATGGCTCGGTAAATTGGCGGTTACAAAAGATATATGAAGATTAAGATTATTACAAATGACAATTACTACTAGTTTATTTATACATAAAATAAATTTTCATGTAGGCCCTAATAAAAAGATAAACTTAAAGATTAAGTTAACTAGAAAACTAAACTTAATAGCTAAGATAACAAAATAATTAGAACCTCATAAGCTAAACATACTTCTAGGCGTAACCTCAAAAGCTTCTGCTTCTGACTAATAACAACTTCTGAATATGAATTACTTCCAACACCATCCCTTAATTCATATTCAGTTAACCAAAATGTATAACATCAATTCAATCACTCAAACGGATAAAGTTTTCAGTCTTAACAGCTTCACAGATTGATAACACAACCACTAGTTGCTTCTTGGAGCACCAAGAAATGAGACTTCTCAAATACTTGAAAACATATCCAGAAGTACTTCTTCTATCAACCCTGTCACCACACCAATCAGAGTCTAAATAGCATATCAACTCTGAATCGGATTTAACACCAGAGGTGAGCAACACTTCATTCCTCATAGTCCCTTCAATATTTTACAATATGTCAAAATCGGAAAATCTTCTTGGTATTTGTCTGATTTGTCGTGGTCTCTGGACTTGTTCAAAATCTACTTCAGATTCTAGAACAATATCTCTTTCTGCACTTTCTTCAGAAGTTCGACTACCACCAGAAGCTCCACCTTTGTTAACTTTTGGACCACGTCCAAAACCACTACCTTCAGAAATACCACTTTCAAAAGTTGGATCACCTTCAGAAGCTCTGCCTTTAAAAGTTCCACCTTCAAAGACATGATTTCCACCAAAAACATGATCATCTCCAGAAGCTTATCCTCCAGAACCTACGTCTTCAGAGTTTTCCCTTCCAAAAGTATGATCACCACCAGATTCTGGATCATCATCAAAATATGGATCAAAATCAGATTCACCATCTGACTCATCTTCAGAGTCTCCAAAAGATTCTTCATCTTCAGAACTTTCAAGTTCTGACTCATCTTCAGAAGCAGAATCTCCTTCAGATTCAGACTCATCTTCTGATTCTTCTTCACACCCAGAATCACCTTCCGATTCTAACTTGTCTTCAGCTTCAGAGTCGTCTTCTGACTCTGACCCATCTTAAGAAACAAACTCGACTTCTAATTTAGTCATTTTCTGATTTTGACTCATATTCAAACACTCCTTCAGAATATTCAGAGTCATCTTCTTCCCCTTCAGAATCAGAAAATGACAATCACACAAGTTCCTCATCAGATTCATAAGCCATCAATAATATATTCTTCATCAAAATCTCCTCTGGCTATTTTTGCTTCTTCTTTGTTTGACCAACAATCTTTAGCAAAGTAGCCAAATCTATTACAATTGTAACACTGAACCATTCTCTTGTCATAATTCTCCTTTCCTTTCTGATGTTTCTTCTCATCAAAAATGGAGGTTTTTTATTTTTGAGATCTACCATGTATTTTCTGCTTCTGGTCCTTCTAGACAAAAGAAGCTTTTAGAGCCTGCTCAACCTCCCTCTTAGAAGTTCTTTGATTCAGACACAACTCTTGCGCCTCTAGACTGCTTTGCATCTCTTCTATTCTCATGGTGTCCAGATCTTTAGAATGTTCAATTTCTACAATAATGTAATCAAATTAAGAAGTAAGACACCTCAATATCTTCTCAATGATTACTTGTTCAGAAAGAATTTCTCCACAAGCTTTCATCTTATTAGTGATCAGAACCACTCTATAAATGTACTTAGATACCTTCTCATTGTACTTCATGTTGAGATTCTCATACTGCTTTCATAGATATTAAAGCTTCACCTTCTTCACTAATGTGTCACCACCGTAACACCTAACTAGTGTGTCCCACGCAGCCTTCGCCATCGTCGAATCAACGATTTTCTCAAACAAGTTCACATCTACACACTGATGGATATAGAACTACGCCTTCTGATCTTTCTTCCTTATATATCTCTACGCATTTCTCTATTCCTCTGTCGCATCCGCTGTAACCAGAATGTAACATTCGGTAATAAGCTCAAGAACATCTTGAACATCGAATAACACGCGCATCTGAATCCAGTGATTCCAATTCTTGCCATTGAACACTGGAAATTTGGTGCTTAGACTACTGTTTTTGTTCATCTTCAACCTTGTGCAAGTCACCGGATCTCACCAAACAAAGTGTCTCCCAATCCCGCAGAATCAGGAAATATGATTCTGTTATGATTTAGTTCACGAAATCAATCACACAACGCCTCACCATTTCACTCGTGTTTCCCTGTGGATCTGAACCAGAGCTCTAGATATCAATTGTTAGTGCACAAGGTGATGAAGAATATAGAATGAGATAATATATTTATTGCTATGCAAGTTGGCGGCTACAAAATATAAAGGAAGGTTAGGATTATTACAAATTACAACAACTACTAGTCTATTTATACACAGTAAATTGCCATGTAGGCCCTAGCAAAAAGGTAAAATTAAAGACTACGTTAACTAGAAAACTAAATTTAATAGCTAAGATAACAAAACAACTAAAACCCTATAAGCTAAACATACTTTTGGGTGTAACCTCAAAAGCTTTTGTTTCTGACTAATAACAACTTCTGAATATGAATTACTTCCGACGTTAACTAATTATAAATTGAACACATTCTCCAAATACAATCTTTTATATGAGTGGAGATAATATTTATTAGTTTACAATATGTAATTTAAAACTTAATAAGATAAATTACTTTTGTGATATCAAATTAATCCTACTAATATTTGTACAAACTACACAAATTGTCTCCCGTGAAGAAAAACTGGGTAATTGGTGGCAATTGCGATTTGTGAATTTGATGCAGGTTGTGGCGATGCACAGGACGTGGCAGAGTGAGGATGTTTAAAATTGAAATTTGTGTAATGAAGCAGATTTCAAATCAGAAATTGAATCTGATGTCGTTTCAACTTGCATATATTTTCTGCTTCTATCTGATAACATTGATAGTTCAAATTGTAATTTGGGTGAAGCAGATTAATGTAATAAACTGATTTTTTATGGTAACATTGATTTTGTTTTTCTGATATAACAGTATCATGACTTTTTATGCTAACATTGATTTGGTTTGTCTGGTATAACAATATTAAGATTTTGTATGGTAACATTGATTTGGTTTTTCTGGTATAACAATATTATGTGTACAGTGTCTTATGCATATATTAAAGTTAGAGGCATCACAAGCAAGAGTGTTTTCTTGTACACCTAAAGGAACTCTTATGATGTTCCTAAAGGAAGATGTGATGTCATTCTCTCATTAAATTTCTATGGTCCATTTGTAAAATTACATTATTTGTACATCAATGTAAACTTATAGTTATGCATGTAACAATTGATATTAATGTAAAATTATGGTTTTTCTTGTAACAACTTATATCAATGTAAAATTCCTGCTTGTAACAAATGAAGGATAAATATTTTTACATCTATTTTTATGTAACAGAACAAAACATTTTTCCTGCTTTTTCTATGTTCAACAAAACAGCTTTATGCTTTCTCTATGTAACAGAACAACAAAGCTAACATTTTTACACGATGTACTTATAACAGAACAACAAAACATTATATGTAATTTCAAAGTATACATTTCAGAAGTTTTAGAATCAACATTATGCGTATGTAATTTCAAAGTATACATTGCAGAAGTTTTAGAATCAACATTGTGCAGATCAACTCTTTATGTGGTTGAGGAAGCCATTATGACATGTGATTTGAAACTTGGTGGAAGTAATTCCTATATTATGGACAAAATTAAAACAACCATCAGTAGAATTATAAAAGTATAAAATCTCAGTATAACCATGAGCGTTTGAAACAAAACGAAGAGGTTGTGAACTTGAAACACCACACATTGAAGTAATATTTTCTATGTCAAAATAATAGACAACAATTAAACTTGAGAAATCAAAACATATTTTGCTTAATAAAACACACCACCAAAACCCAAATTAAATCTCACTAGATTTCGATCTATGAGTATAAGTGGGCAGCTAAAATATAGAATGTGTTTGACAACAATAAAAGCAGATAAGTGAAAACATAATTCAAAACTTCAGATAACATGACAACAATTAATCATAAGTTCAAGCAATCACAGACTTCAGATATTATCAACATATTTAAAATTCAAGAAAAAAAATATAACATAAAAAACATTTTAATTTTGGATGGTGAATTTCACTCAACAATTCCACCTCATTCTGCAAATTAATCCAACTATTCAAATTCAGCTCAACTTTTTATAATAAAAATGAACAAATTATTAATAGAAATTAACTCACCTCATACTCTCTTTCTGCATATTGACATTCACAGTTCAACCTCTTGATAGCAACCACCAAATTATAATCCAAACCAGCCTTGTAAACACATCCAAAACCACCCTCGCCTATAAATCCAAAAAAGTTTCTTCACTGCAATAGCTTGAAAAAGGACAATGCTAGACACGGAAACAGACATTTCAAAATCCGAACATAACATACTAAATATTGTTGGAAGAAAACCATTAACATAAGGGATGTGCAGATTGAAAATAAACATGTCTTTATCTTCAGTACATTCTTAGAAATGAGTTAAATACCTAAAGGTTAAAAACTACAGCCAACACTGTATCACAACCGTTGTCCTCTAGCTCCTCGATTTTTGATTGAAGCTCCCTTTCCTTCTCCAAAAGTGAAGAAGTTGATCTTTTCAAACATAATCTCCTTTGACTTTATCAGGTTCTGCCATAAAAAATTACATTATTTTCCAACGATCATTTGTCAAAAGTAAATCAGTTATATCCTAATGCAGTAGAGTGAAAATGGTGATTTGATTCCTTCATGGTAGCAACTAAAGCTGCAGATGGAAAACTGTTAGCAGTCCATGAACATATATGATTGATTCCTGAAATTGATGATACAACACCAACTACTCCAGCCATTAAAGAAGGTGTAACAAAGAATCAGTTGAACCATTTCCCATTCGAAAGAAAATAGATGAAAAATGAGCCGGAAGTTCTAATTTTGAACCTGTATAATTCTTAGCAAACATAAGTATGACGAAGAAAAAAACATAAAATGAATGTGCACGGGCTAACGCCAATACATAAGTCTTTATAAAAAATGTGACGAATGTGTAAGATAGGAAATAGGAAATTTTTTCTTACCTATAATGAAACCATGATCTATTGTGTTGCACCCCAAATTACCATCTTATCTTCAACCCTAATTGGCTTATGCTTCATTCTTATGTACACTCATATGCATATCATTGGTTCTATTGACATGGGATCAAGGATTTTGTAATTGAGTGTGCATCACTCAAAGAAGAATAAAATTGATATTCAAGAGATAAAAGAGGGATATCTCATCATCATGAGCATCCTTTTAAGGCATGTGATCTTGTTTCTCTAAAGTTTCTCAAAGGTCATCAGAGGATTAGGGTTTGGAGGGTTGATCACAAGCTCCTATCTTTTTGGCTCTGACCTAGGGTTTTGGTCAAAGGCAGCATGTGGTTGACTTTTTGAGCAAAACATGATTCTATGGTCTAATAATTGGTTCGAGGCATCCCTATGTGTTCTTATAATCATCACAATTTTATTCAAAAGATTCAAATGGGTAGAAGAGGAGAAATTGAATGCACTGAGAAAGAGTCGATAGTCGATCAAAATTGAAAGTCAACATTTTAGATTTTTGGTTAAATTGGGTCATTTTGAGTCATGATATATGAAATCAAGAGGTTTGATCAAATAAAATCAAGAGAAATTATGAAATTACCAAAAGTTGATAAATTAGGGTTTTTGAAATTTTTCTTATAGAAAAATCATGATCATATTGCTATCTTTCCAGATCGATATATCTCTCCATAAATGTCAAAAAGTGTAAGCAAGGGATCAAATTCAAGATTTTCTCTCATACTACAAATTTGTAGAAGGGTTGAAGTCCAAAAAATGCATGGATAAGAAGATATTTGATCATAAAGTGAAGGAATCATTCAACTTTAAAGTTCCAACACATAAATAAAATTTGAAGCTTTTGATCAGGTTCATGTATATGGTTTCCAAGGTAAATTTCTTGTTGATTCAAGCTTCATCCTGTCATACCCTAATTTTTTTACCTAAGATCCCACCTCTTTTGCAGCATTACATAGCATCACGATCGTCAAGCATCTTTGTGTTTCCTTATTGTCTTTTTCTTATATGATTTATGTTTACTAACCTCTAATCAAAATAAAAAAATATGCTTTATTTCCCTTTTGTTTTTGTGCAAGTTAGGGATCGAATCGAGTGAATCAAGCAAAGTCTCCTCAGTCAGGGTTTTGATATACAAGCTCAAAGATTGATCGATCATTGATTCTCAAAGGCTCATTCATCAAGATATGACCTATAATTTTAGGCGTGATTCTCTCAAGCCTCATTTATCATCATCTGGTCATCAAAAGCTCAAGATCATTGGTCATTTTGCAAGTGGATTCAAGACAAGTTCATGTGAGTATTACCATGCCTTCTTAATCAAGTTTCCTCAAGTCATTGATCAATTTAATCAAGAAGTTCATCAAGGAATAGTCAAAAATACCAGTAATCTCGCTTCCTGCATTTTTATTTCTTTTCTCGATTTCATTCATTGTGCAAAGTTGATCAAAATCCAATAATATTAATATTTCGATTCTACAGACAGATCAGCAAAAGCGATTCGACATTATACAGAAAATTAGCAGGAAAAATATTTTGAGCTTTGGTCTGTAGCTAACTATTTTATGAATCTATGGTGCACGTAGATCATGTTGATATGCTTGTTTTATTTTTCGGTGCAGTTTTGTTAGCTGGGAATTTCGATTATACAAGTTTTAAGGCTTTTTGATCGAAGAAAGAGTTAGTCGAGGGAAAGTATAAGAAGGTTTTTATGGAATCTTCGATTGATGAAGAGTTAGTAAAGAGTTTTACTATATTGAACCATTATCGAAGGGTTCGTCTTTGAACTGTGGAAATATAAGTTATTCAAAGCATTACAAAGAAAGATATTTCGACTGTCATGTTGTTTGAATTGGCGCTTCGAAAAGAAGAAGATTTCAAATTCAAAAGATTCGATCTTATCCAAAGAGACACGTGGAAGTATAACAATTCAAAATACATGCAATCTTTGAACGTGGCGTGTTTTCGTAGAAGGACCATTAGGGTCAAATCAGTATAAATAGAAGTCTTAGATGTTAGAAAAAGAGGTGTGTTCGAATTGTATACAAAATAATATTATACTCAAAGTACCGGAGCGAGAGAAACGAGTTTGTTGATAATGTATGAGTAAGAACATCACCAGTTTTATTCAGAATTAATTTCTCAGTACAAAGTCTTTAATCACTTTTATTCCTTTTTCGTTTCTAGTCTAGTCTTTTAACAATGTTATTAAACTTTTCTTATTAAGCATTGTCTTTATATTTTCACAAATTCCCAGATTATTCCCATTAAAGTCATATTTAAGATTCATAGTCAAACTTTAAACATCTTGAGATCATTGTAACCATATAAAAACCTTATTATTATTTGTACAATGTTTTCTTTTGAATCAGACTGTAAGAACACTAAGATTATGTCCTAGGATCAATTTAGTTGATCCTGTAAGTTACCAAAGCATAAGATTTTGAAGACTGGCAGTTATTTGTCAGAAATCACTGGTAAACAAATTGGCATGCCCAGTGGGACTTTGTCGAAGTGTTTTAGTCACATTTTTTTATATTCTTTCAACTTGGATCTTTATAGCAGTTTCGGTTACAAACTTATTCTTGCCCAGTATATGAACCTTAGGAGTGATAAGATAACCAACAACAAACAACCAATACCCAAAAGAAAACAAACCAGAAAGATGGTTAATACTGCCAATGATGGAGAGTGAATCCTCCACAAGGATCAGGCACAAGCATTGCAAGTTCGATGAATGCATCAACTGTGATTCCTGTTTCACAAGCCATGTCCATATCCACAGGATCCATGGCTACAAATAGTTCGATACCTGGGTCCACAGGGGCCAAATCGACGAACAATTCGACAACCATGCATATCTCTGCAAATACGACATAGATCCCTTCGAACACTCAAACTGGCCATGTGTTGACATATGTGGGAAACCAGACTCAACTTGCAACCCCTAGACCCCCAGGATTTAAACATTTTAGGACTTGGAGGGAGCAACCCCGATACGGGATGCCAACTTCCCTTATGTCAGGATTACACAATAATATAACCAAACATACACAACCTACCATGATAACCTTTTCGCCAGTGCAAAACTCTGGTTCTGCCATGAACCATGTGGGTCGAAATACGCAGAACCAAGGATTGTCAAACCAATTGCCTATACTCACAACTGACACTCAGGCAGCATTTAGGCAACAAATGGACGCTAGTAACCATGACATAGTAGGAGTGCTTGCACGTATGAATACCATTTTCTCTCCTTTGGTCCAGAATATTAATAGGAAAAACCAAGAAAATACCCAATCCTATCAGCAAATGTCAGCGCAGATGGCACGCATAGCAGACTTTTTTGGAGCCCCACAAGCACATGTTCGACATAGGCAGAATCAAGTGGCAACTCAAGAGGAAGAACCCACTATCAATCAGGTTTGACCACTGTTGTACCCCAAAATTTGCCCTCCCTTTTTCACAAGAAATCACAACCCTAGGGTTTTCTCAGATTTTCAAGATTGGCTCAAGAATCGATCAAACAGACTTTTCTTTAGCAGTAAATCAAGAATTAGGTTTTTCTCTCGCATTTCTCAGAAGAAACTGAATTCTCATAAATTCCATTAACTGTCACATTGTTTTTACACTTTTTCAAGTTTGCAGAAAGGTTATTGGTTGTTCTCAAGGCCTGATTATCTGGGATAAGAGATAGGAGCTGAGACTTTTATTTGGAATATTCAATTTTTGTCTGATCCAGGTTAACCATACAATGTGCGTCTATTAAGGTGTTTTCCTGTTAATGGAATGAAATGCTTGCTTGTTATTGGAATACACAATGCGTATTTTGATTGGAATGTTGTTGCAAGGTTACGAGACTGCAAAGTTTTTGGATTACTTGGAATTTAAGTTATCTGGATTAGAATTATTGAAATGCAATTTCAATTATTTTGATTTGAGAATCTTAAATAATCAGCGAAGACTTGAAGAAAGAATGGCAAGATTATTGGACAGTAAAAGATTTTATTGGATATCAGTTTGGCGCACAAAGATTTTTCAGATGATTGATACAAAAATAATTTATTATTTGAATATTGTAAGTTCTTACAACTTATAGTACTTGGAAAAATAAATTATTACAATTAATGAAAAAGCTATCTAAATCTAAAATCTAAGTCTAAGCCATTTCTCCCATGCTCAAAGTCTCTGGCTTCTACTGCTTTGTCGCCGTCCAAGTTGCACTCACATGAAAAAGACAAAGGAAAAGAAGATTAGTACAGTTAATTGAAAAGAATTTTCATGAAAAAAGAAAGGAAAAAAAGTCATCATTAAAGTTTGCGGTCCGGAATCAGAGTGCTATTTTTTTTCATCACGTTTTATTTTTCTCCTTGCAAATCACAAGAAGATTGCTCTTCTTGGTTCACAAAGAGAAAAATAAAAGTGCAAATGCAAGCATAAAAAAGCAATTGGTTCAAATGCAAACATAGGCCAAAATGAAACATTGCAAAGTCAGCAACCAAACAGCAATGCAAACTGTTATGCAAAAATAGGCCAAATTCAAACAAAGCTGCATTACTAAACATGGCATACAAGGAAAAATGTGCTAAGCAAACTAGATGCAAACTGTCTAAACATTGCAAGCAAAGCAAACTGTACTAAGCAAACTGAGTTACAAAGCAACTGGATGCAAACTGTACAAGTGCAGACATATAGCAGGCAAATGCAGGAGATAAACCAATTGACAAGCAAAAGACTTGTCATAACTATCATCATTTTCCAGCGGAATAGGCAAACTTTTCAGAATAAGGTGGAAAAGAAAAAGTGCTTTGTCATGGAGAGAGAAAGAGAGAAAAGGATATCACCTTTTTGAAGTGTACAGTTTGGCAAAGCCGACTATCACAAGTTGCAAACAAAAAATCTAAAAAGATATAAAACTATCAAACTGCATAACAGTTTGAGGGGGAGAGAACATTGAGCCAAGCCAGCCAACAGCACAACCTGTTATCAAACTGCTCAAAACAAAACAGCAAACAACTAAAAACTGCAAAACAAGCAGAAACCACAACTCTCCCAACACAAAAACCTGTTAACAGTTCAAACAAACACAAGCCTGTTAACCAATTCCAAAATCAGCAGGCCAAACTGTTATCAAACTGTAACAAACTACTCAAACTGCAGTTTCAAACTGTACTACCAAAACTGCACAGCCAAACTACAAAACCATTGCAAAACTGCACAAGCTGCAAGCTTTCCAAACTGCAAACTGTACACCAGTTCCACAACCAAACCTGCACTTCCAAACTGCAAACCAAAAACAACCAAACCTGCACAATCAAACAGAACACCACAAACTGCAAACAAGCTTGCTCAAACTGCAAAACTGCACAAGCTGCAACAATAGCCAAAAACTGAAAGCTACACAAAATAGCACAAACTGTAACTGCAAACCAACTGTAAAAATCTTAACCAAATCCAAACTGTAAACCCTCAACAAAGCCAAAACTGTAACAACTACAAAATCTGTAGTCTAAACAATCATCACCAAACCATAAGCTGCAAACCAGTTTCATAAACAACCATCACAAATCCAAACCAACAAGTTTCAGAACAAGTTTCATCATTAACATCAACATTCAAGAAGAGAGGAAAAGAGTTTCAGAAGCAATGACAACAGGGTTTCAGAAATACATCATCATCAACAAAAAACATCAACAAAGGAGTTTTAGAAGCTATCAATCACCAACAAAAAATCAAAGTTTCAGTTGAATCATCATCAACAAATCAAGAGAGAGGAAAAGAGTTTCAGAGGAAAAGAGTTTCAGAATTGTAATCATCATCAACAATCAACAACAACAAGTTTCAGAAATATTTCATCATCAACATCAACATTCAAGATAAAGGAAAGAAGTTACCACAAGCAAGCACGTCCATCATTTCTTCCCTCCTCCGCCTCTAAGCCACCAAGGAATCGCCTCTGTCTCACCCTTTCTCTTCTCCATTCTTCTTTCCAGAAAATCCTAAGGTATGCTTCTCAAACCCTCTTTGCTGCATCTCAAGCATGTAAACACCATAGATTAAAAACAAAACTGGACAAGCATGCGAATCAAACACCAAACTGAAAAAGCTGTTAAAATCAAACAAACATAACCAACTGTAAAACTCAGAAAAGAGAACGAACTATACCGTTTACAACAAAACCTTTGACCATTGTGAGGAAATGAGAGGAAGAGATGGCGCTCCGGTGGCTTAGGCTAGGGCTTAGGGAGAATCAGAACGCGTGAGAGTGAGAAAGATGAGGAGGAGAAAATGAGAGAAACGACACTGTTGTGAGCAAGAACTCCACAAACCCTAAATTCTGATGTTGCAAACTTTGTGCAATTGGGCCTCTCCCCAACCAAATCCCATACACGGATTACTGGCTTGCACCCCCCTCCCTTCCATTCTGACTCTTATTCTTTTGGGCCTAACCTCCATATCACACTTTAAGCCCACTTTTAATTACTTTTTCTTTTCTTTTATTTTGGTTAAACAAATACTTGTTTTTTTTTATTTCATATTATTTTAATTTGTTTTCTTTTTAAGTTAATAATAAAACTAATAATAAAAACTTTGATTTTCTTAAAATTAGTTTTATTAAGTAATCTTGCTTTATTTGATAAAATACACAAATAATAATAATATAACATTTAATATTTCTTTTTTAGAATAGATTTTTGTTTGTTTATTTTTTAAATACATACATCTCATAATATTATTGATTTCTTAATTTGTTATAACTTTATATTAAATTGCGATGATTTGATTTGGTTGTAACACTTGATATTTAGACATTGTTATCCTTGTGAGACTCATCCCCATTTGTAAATAATTGTATCCACATCCCCGGATACTTTTGTAATAGCTTAGATTTTTAATTCTCGCACTTTAAGCTTTCAAATATGCCATGACTAGAGATTAGGGTTTGTATGCGAAAATCCAAAATCAATCGCTAGATGACCTAATACAAGACCTAAGTGCATGAAAATGACAAACACAATGCACACTTGCACCTCTAGGGTAACCTCGCTTGTTGCCTCGGAAAATGCAATCATGTCCCTCGAATATGAGAAACTCTAGCAAATGCCCCTTCGATAAACAAAGATCGTAGTCCCTCGATGACCCTCGATGTTTCCTTCGATAAAATGATCGCGTCCCTTACAAAATTGCTAGAGCGTCTCACAAGTTGCTTTCAATGATTGTATGCGATGACCCACGCTTGTCCCGTTTAATATCCTGATACAAGATTGTTTACCAAATGCAATGGTAAAACAACACTATCAAAAAGGGTTAAAAACATATAGGAAAAATCATTGAGTAAAACAGGGTAGACAACTCTTAGTTACTTGATCAAAACTTGCAAAACATCCTTGCTATTTTCAAACACACCTCACAACACAATTTCAAAACAATTTCCCAAATCAAACTTTCAAAACATTGAAATGTCTTTTCAAAAAGACAAACACCTTTGTATATATTCAAACAAGAATCACTACAAAGGTTGCCACAACGATGGCCTCTTTTTCAAAGCATTTTCAAAACCACACACACAAAGCACCATTTCAAACAATTGAAAAGAAAAAGCAAGTGATCTAAAAAAGTAACTAAGAGCCCATGGAAAACCATGGATGAAAAGGGTGCTTGCACCTTCCCTTTTCATAATCTACCCCCCGAACCCAAGAAAACATCTCAAAGGTCTTTCCTGTGCTTTTTGACCTTTCCTTAGGATAAAATAAAAAGTCGGTGGCGACTCTTGCTAAACCGTACAATTGCAAACACAAACGCAAAACCTCAAGTCAGTTCTCCCACCGTATCACAACCACCCAGACAAGAGGCTGGAGAAAGGGATATGAGGGAAAGGGTAGAACGACGAGAAATTCGAAATGAGATCCATGAGGAGAAACCTAGAAGAATAGTAATTGTTAACAGGGATCAAAATGCAGAAGAAGTGATCCATAGAGTTAGGCAGGATAACATACTGGCTGAAAATAATTTAACCACCATAATCGAAAGAATTATGGCCCAAAATGGCCTGAATATAGGGTTTCGATGGCCAAATTATACATATCCATTAACATATTTTATTTTGCAGGCAGAATTACCAAGGGGTTGTAAAGTCCCCAAATTCACAAAATTCTCAGGAGATACTAACGAATCAACTGTCGAACATGTGGCCAGGTATCTGATAGAAGAAGGGGACTTGGCAAATAATGAAAACTTAAGGATAAAATATTTTCCTAGTTCATTAACAAAAAATGCTTTTACATGGTTCACTACATTGCCACCAAATTCTATAGATACATGGCCTCATTTATAAAGATTGTTCCATGAACAATTCTATATGGGGCAAACTAAAATAAGTCTGAAGGAATTATCCAGCATTAAAAGAAAGTTTACTGAACCTATAAATGACTATTTAAATAGGTTCCGTTTGTTGAAATCTAGATGTTTCACAGTAGTGCCGAAACATGAATTGGTCGAAATGGTCGTTGGTGGATTAGATTACTCCATTCGAAAGAAACTAGATACTCAGTATCTAAGAGAGATGGCCCAATTAGCAGACAGAGTTCGACAAATCGAATGTTTGAAAGCAGAAAAGGCCAGGAAAAGTAAGAATTATAAGAAAGAGAGGGTAGCTTATTGTGATCGGTGGATCTGGAACTGACTGTTTAAAACTGGTTTCGCGAAATGTCGCGGAAGCAAGAGTCGCCACTGTCTTTTATTTTCTCCAACATGGAAAGGACAAAAGCACAGAAAAATTCCTTATTGAGATGTCTCTCGGTTCGGGAGGTAGATTTATAGAAAGGGAAGGTGTTAGCACCCTTTCTATCCATGGTTATCCATGGGCTCTTAGGTACTTGCTCTTATGTTTTCAAAATGTGTTTGCTTTTCAAGTGTGTGTGGGTTTTGAAAAAGTTCGTTTGGAAAACTTCTAAGTAACTCTTGTATCAGTCCTCAAGAGTGTATGAAGTGTTTTGTTTGAAAACTTTTTGAAAGTGTGGGGTGCGAAAAGTTGTTTTATTTGTTTGAAAAGAGCAAGTACCCAGGAGAATCTACCTACTCTAAGGAATTAAGTTGTGTAAGAGTCATTTAGATAGTGCTATCCCACCATTGAGAGATAGGTAGCACCATCGTTGGAGGTGTTCGGGTCAATTCGAGTTTAGGGACAGTGTGGTCACCGAAGCAACAGTAGGATACCTTAGAAGCTACCCTTATGCCATTGATCTTTTTATTCCGAGGCGACCGTTCCGAGGCAACTTATTCGAGGCAACTAGATCAATGGAACATAAGGACTTACTAAGACGTCCTGTACTCAACGACCACGTTTCGAGGGGCAAGGCAACAGTGAGGCGTACCCTAGGGGTGGTGTGTGATTTGTGTGTCGTTTTCAGATATTTTTGTCTTGTTCATGCATTGGTGATCTACGCTTTATTTTTATTTTTGGGCATTCATTCTTTCATGTTATTGTTTAACAGTTAAAAGGGGTGCGGGAAAGATAAAGGTCCTACGCTATTACAAAGGCGCGGGTCTACAACGCCAAATTAATCCAGACCCGATTTAAAATAAAATGCAGAAAATAAATGCCTAATTAACTATTACAGGGCTTTGGAGCAAGTACATTATATTCACAAAAAGAAATAAATAAAACGCGCGAAACGAAGATGTAATCGAATGCGAGGGCGTTGGACCCTTTAACGGAATTAAAATAAAATTATTGAAATAATTAAGTTAAATAAAGGAAATGACTTATTTTTTATGTTTTTTGGATTTGTGGATTTAAAGAAAATTAAATTAATTAAAAGTCAAATAATTCTAGTTCTAATTGTTTTTTAATTTATTAAAGAAAAATTACCTAAGTTAAATCTAATTTAAACCTAATTGATTAATTACAAGTATTTACGAAATTAATTAATGGTTAATAATAATTATAATAAGAAAATAAAATATTTATTTAAAAAGATGAAAATGTGTTAAAGACTTATTTTTTTATATTTTTTAGTTATTAAAAAAAGCATTAAAGTTAATAACCTAAAATCAAAACTAAATTAATTATTGAATTTTATTTACAAAAATGGAACTATTAATTGATTAAATAAAATATTTTTATACCTCTTTTATGATTTCCTGATTTTTTTGGTTTTTATATTAAGAAATAAAACTAATTAAATTAGTATTTAGAATCTAATTAAGTCTAATCAATTTTAATATTGCAAAATAATTTAGAGTTTCCTAGAATAAAAAAACCTAATTAATTAATTAAATTTAGAAAAAAAAGAAAAATCTAAAATTTATTTGGGTAAGAATATTTTTGTGATTTTTTGAAATAAAAAGAAAAATTAATTTTGTTAATAAAAAAGCAAATTAAATAAATTAAAATAAAATAGAAAAGAAAATAAATTCAAGGGAAAAAGGAAATGGGCATGTTTTCATCAAAACGCAACTCCACATAATCTGAACCCTAGCCATGGAGGTTCACGTTTTGGCCACGAAAAATCCCAAGCGATAGCCCAGACCTGCTCTAAACATCCACTGG